AAGTAGTAGTGTATAAAGGGAAAGTTTCCAAATTCTCGGTTTTGATTACTACCACACCTGTGAGAGAAAAGTATCTCAGTGATTCGACTGGTAGGTAATAAATGATGTAAACCCAGTTTCAACTGGAATCTACCAAATGGTGGTACCTTGCTTCGGCAAAGGATGTACCCGACATTAATGCTTTGCCTCCGTAGAGGTGCACTAAAAGGTATGCTTTGCTTTGGCAAAGGTGTATCGAACAAACCCTCTTCACCTTCAGCTGAAACCTCCCAAAACCAAGTCTAAGTCCGGTCTGACTAAGAATCCTGACTAGTTCAATAGTCTGAAAGTCATGAGCTATTGGTATTCTGGTCTTTTTTGCCACCCTTAAGTGCCACGTGTTTAGGCCTAGAAAGTTATGGTCCAACATATACTATCCAATGTGATTCTCATGTTTATATGTTACCTTGAATGTGATTTCGAGCATACTTTCATAATTATGTCCTCTGGCCAAATATTCTTTATCAATATCATAGAGTATTCTCTCTCAATGTTTTGAAGGTTAGAGATCCCTTATTGTACATTCAAATGCATCCATGACTTGGTAGCTTAACCCAAAGATGCTGTTGACACACTCACACATTGATTAAGAACCTAACCTCAAGTCAACTATGATATCTCAGGTCAAATGACTACTTTGTATTATATTAACTAGTGAGTTCTCATATGACATGAGTATGAGAAGTCCTAGTTGATCGCGTTCAGTATACTTATTCTCTATTGGGCTCCTATATACTTGTCTTATTGTCATTCACACCACTGACTCAAGATCAGTCATTCTCAGGAGATAAGACATAGTATGTACTGATTATCCAGATTGTCAAAGCCCAATTAGCAATCCTATGATCATGGGCATTTAGGATATGTCCATGAAAGAGAAAGGTATCATGAATCTAACGTCTTTAGATTACATTATCTTAGTAACATATATTCATTAGACTTATTATTAACGTGTATAAGATTTAATGAGACAACTTTAAACAACAATCTTTGCCTTTAGATTGAACTGAAATAGTTAATATGTGAAATGTTTGTAACGTATTATTCCATGATTAGCTTTAAAGCATATTTCCAACATTATTCTCACTAAGGACATGTATCCCAAGACACCAAGTGAGAAAGATGAGATGGCGCATATTCCGTATGTGTCAGCCGTAAAGAGTCTCATGTATGTTATGCTATGTACAAGGTCAGACGTATGCTTTGTCGTTGGAATTGTAAGCAGGTTCCAATCAAACCCAGGGCGTTAGCATAGGACAGCCGTAAAGGCAATCCTTAAGTACGTGGGAAAAACTAAGGATATGATGCTAATGTATGGAGGAAATGTTGAAGGAAATTGCTAGACAAATGTTACATTGATTTTGACCACTTAGGATCTTCAAAGCATAAGTCCACATCGGGATGTGTCTTCACTTTGAATGGAGGAGTTGTCAAGCTGAAGGAGCCATAAGTAGATATGCATTGCACTTTCGACCATAGAAGCAAAATACTATGATGCTCTAGATGTTAGTCATGGGGCTATTTGGATCAAGAAGTTTGCCATTGAACTTGGAGTAGTTCCTACCATTGAGTCACTAGTACCTTTATATTGTGACAACATGGGTCAATAGCTCAACCCAAGGAACCAAGGTTTCATAAATCATCCATGTACATCAAAAGCTTTATCACAAGATTAGAGAATTTGTGAAAAAGAAGAAGATTCAAGTCCAACTAGTAGACACTACAAAATACGTAGGGGACCCATTTACTAAGAAGATGAGACAAAAGTAGCTTGGTTGCCACCTAGCGAGTATGAGTGTGCGTAGTTGTGATCATTGGCTTTAGTGCAAGTGGGAATTGTTGGAGTGATGCCCTAAAAGCCAATTTTGTAATATCAAATATTATGTAACAACTCCATATTAATTAATTAATAAAAAGAGCAATTTTTATGCATTTATGAGTTTTGCCTTATATTTTATAGATAATATACTATGCACTTAGTAGTACAGTCTAGTGGTATTCCTCTTCACTTGTAAGCGAGATGTCTTATGTTCGATTCTTACCAAAAAAAAAAAAATTTGGACAACATTATTTTTAGCCCATTGTGAGGCTAAGCCTACCCCTTCTTTGTAGTATATAATATTGTTTGTTAAAAAATACACACACACACACACACATAATATGAATGAGTCCACAAGACTAAATGTATGGAAACAATGTCTTAAACGAGATTATGGCAATGATACATGTATTCTTTAAGGCCATCTCCAACATATCCGGTTAGAGGGCCTAAAATAGCTTGAAATGACACGAAAGTTGTCTCTAATCGAGGGTTAGGCCAAAGGGCTCGTGGGCCCCACCGGGCCAAAAAAAGAGGAATTAGGCTAGCCAGCTAGCCCTAGGCCGGCCAAATATTTGAAACCAACGACTAGCTGACGTCAGTTACCATTGGATTTGATTTTTTTTTTTTTCGGCCAAAATTTTTTAAAAAAATTTAAAAAATTGTCATTTTTTTCCTATAAATACCTAAGCCACTCCTACACCATTTCTCACATCATTTTCACCATTCCGTACTATCTTACTTCATTCTATTTCAATTTTCACATTCTATTTTCTTACCTCTTCTAATAATCTTTCCTTCAATTTTTTCAATAATTTTCAAATGGCCACATTTGCAATGAAAGGTAGGGCTTGGACCCGAAAAGTGGATGAAGCTTCTTGCAACGCTTATAGATGGGTCTTGGAAGATAGTGTGAGGGGGAGTTCTCAAACAAGTGAAGGAGTTTGGACTTGTACGTCCAAAAAATACAATGATTTCTACAAAGGCACCACTCCGCCGAATACCCGAAACCATGAGAATTGTTCTTCAAGATGGAAGAAACATCTTCATCCAAGTTTGAATAGATGGCATCAAGTATTGTTAACGGCCACAAGTAGACATGAAAGCGGCACCAATTACTACGACGAAGTAAGTGCTTTCACAATTTATTTTAAATATTTAATTATATTACATTTATTTTCATAAATTAATTTCCTTTAATTTTTGTAATTATATTTTCTAAGTATGCCAAGCGGAGGAATTGTATATGGAGGACAACTCGAAACCCTTTTAGCATCACGGTTGTTGGGAAATTTGTAAAGGTTGGGTGTTATTTGAAGATCCACCTCAAGATAGAGTAGGTCCTATGCTGGTGTTTGGAATTGCATCCTCAGCTATAGATGGGGATGAAGATGGATCTCCTACCATTCAAGAAACCTAGGGCTATGGGACAAAACAAGGCCCGAAAATTGAAGGAAAAGGGCAAGGAAGGGCCAAACAAATACAAGAAGAGATGGACAATAGAAATATGCAAAAGAACACTTTGGATTACACTCTAATGAGTAAGGCCTATCTTGATAGGAAAAATAGGGAAATTATGGCCCGACGACAGTTGTTTACCTCCGACTATCATCCTGCAATGGCGTGATGATGATGATGATGATTATAGACTTTAAATTTAAGTTGTAGTTTTAAATTTAAATAATAAATTATGTTTGGCCCTATGACCCTTTAGCCCTCTCGGTTGAAGATGATTTTTTGTCACAGGGCTATTTTTGGTCTATGACCCTCTGGCCCCTCGGTTGGAGATGGTAAGAAATATGACCCTGCACCGTTTATTAAAATATTAATTTCTTAGAGGGCTATAGGGCTAAAATAAGCCCTCTGGCCCTCCTTCGGTTGGAGATGACCTAAACTACATGAAAGTATGCTATACAAATTAAATATTTAATTACATACACAATTTTCATTTTGATATAATTAACGAAACTTAAAAAAAAGGAAAGTCTCAAGTGAGTGAATTAAATGCCAAATATCCTACCTCTCTTGAAGCAATAACTAAGTTCAAATTCAAAATGTGATCCAACGGTTCAACTGATCCCAAAGCAGGCTACACAAACCGCGTCAAATCCTAATGGCGCCAAACCGATGACACTCTCAATCACACCCAATAAGTAAAGGGTTGTGATTTTCACACACCCTTAACTACTTTTCTCACACCCCTCCATATTTTTTAATACTTAATTTGTATCCTACTATTTAATCTTCCATATTTTCCTCCCTATTTAATCTTTCATTAATTACCATAAAAAAGTAGGAAGGGTATATATGGAAGATTAAATAGTAGGATACCAATTCAGTATTAAAAAATAGGAAGGAGTGTGAGAAAAGTAGTTAAGGGTGTGTGAAAATCACAACCCATAAGTAAATTGCAAAAGTATCCAATCACGTTCCCGACTTGTCTTTTAGGTTGATGTTATTTACAAATTTATTTTTACTTCTTACACACTCATCTTAATTTCCAACCGTTGAATTGAATAAATTAAAGAAGATCAACAAATAAAAATTAATAAGAGTGTGTTAGAAGTAAAATGAATGAATAACACTACTCTATCTTTATTTTTCTTTTACGCAGAAGGCGCGATTCTGTTATAAAAAAGATATTTTTATGAGTCCAAAACATGTGTTGGTATACTACATATTATACATAAGTGAAATATTATTTTAAATTTTTTTCTCTAATTTTATTATTAGATGTAGTGTACTAATTCGTGTTTCGGGTACCTTCAAATATAAGACGAGAATTTTTGGATGGACTTTTATGGAAGTTAATTCACAGGTCTTAGGTTTGATTCTTGTTAAAGATGAATTTGAACAATATTATTGCTAATCTATTGTGAGGCTAAACTCACCCTCTCCCTTTAGTGTAAATAATATAATTTGTTCAAAAAAAAATTCACATTACAAGTCGTCACTCAGTACTACAGTCTAATGGTTATAAGTGAAATGATCTTAGATTTGAATTTCATAAGTGAAAAATTTAATACTAAATTAGATTGTCTATTATGTGGCTTAACCAAACACCTTTCTTTTCTTTTGTTAGCGTAAAATATGTTGTTTTACCAGCGTCGGGCACTTACTCAGCAGTCAAAAACCCAAAGCAGGAACCAACCTTGATTTGGGCGGGAATTTTGAACAAAAATTTTACATGGAGGGAAAATTAAAGTAAAAAAATCAAAAGAAACCCTAATTCCCAGACGCACCCGCTTCAAATATTTTGTACTATATATAGATAACCCTCTCATTTCATCGTCTCCGTCCTGCGCCTTCTCTCTTGCACGAGACCTGCTCGACGAAATTCCCCAGAGGCAAAAAGCAAATTCAAGCACAGAAGAAGAAGAAAATGTACGTGGTTAAGAGAGATGGGCGGCAGGAGACCGTGCATTTCGACAAGATTACGGCACGCTTGAAGAAGCTCAGCTATGGCCTTAGCACTGACCACTGCGACCCCGTGCTAGTGGCCCAGAAGGTATGCGCTGGGGTCTACAAGGGCGTCACCACCAGCCAGCTTGATGAATTGGCCGCCGAGACTGCGGCTGCTATGACCGCCAACCACCCTGACTACGCCTGCGTCAGTCTCCTACTTTCCCCTTTCATCTTTCACATCTGTGTTTGTTTTTTTCTCCTGTGTTGCGTTTTTTAATTTTTAATATTTTAATTTCGGTTTTAATTAAGTATTTTATTTTTATGTCAATTTTGTCTAATAATTTGGGGATAATGAATATAATTGCTATCTTGTTAATTTTTCTGCCATTTCTAGTTTTTGCAGTTTAAATTTTTGTGTAAACATGTTTTGTTTTGCATTGTTCACTTCTCTGAGTATACCTATAGAATTTTATGACTTTTGATTGCTCCGATCGTTGTTTGATGGTCGACCTTTTGTGTTTTGTTCATAGTTTGACATAATGAATTGGTAGATTTCTTGAATTAATGTAAATTTGTCTAAAATTTGACGCAGTTGGCCGCCAGAATTGTTGTCTCAAATCTACACAAGAACACTATGAAATCGTTTTCAGAGACGTGAGTTTAATCAGGATTCATTACTATCTTTTATCTCTTTTGATTTTCATGTTGATTGAAGTGGATGATCGGTTGCAGGATCAAAATGATGTACAACCATGTGAGTGAGAGATCTGGGCTGAAAGCCCCTCTGATAGCTGACGATGTTTATGAAATCATCATGAAGGTAAACCACATTGCAAAATTGTGTTTATTAGTCTGAGTTTAGTTATGCGTGCATATTGTTTAAAAATATGAAGTGGCTTATGTTCCTTCAATTGTTTTTATCAAATTTTGTTTCAGAATGCGGCTTGTCTGGATAGTGAGATCATTTATGATCGGGACTTTGACTATGATTACTTTGGCTTCAAGACTCTTGAGAGGTCTTACCTCTTAAAGGTTCAAGGCAAGGTTGTGGAAAGACCTCAACACATGCTAATGAGGGTTTCTGTTGGGATTCACAAGGACGATATTGATTCTGTTATCAAGACATATCACCTGATGTCTCAGCGGTGGTTCACTCATGCTTCTCCCACCCTCTTCAATTCTGGAACTCCAAGGCCTCAGGTATGTTTAGTGTTGTGCATTGTTGTGAGAATGATTCAAAGTTATTATTTTGTTGTTAAATTTAGTTACATGATTCTTCCTGATTTGATTTTGCAGTTGAGCAGCTGCTTCCTTGTTTGCATGAAAGATGATAGCATTGAAGGCATTTATGATACCTTGAAAGAATGTGCTGTTATCAGCAAATCGGCTGGAGGAATTGGTGTCTCAGTTCATAACATCCGTGCCACAGGCAGTTATATTCGTGGAACAAATGGAACCTCCAATGGCATTGTTCCAATGTTGAGAGTTTTTAATGATACTGCCCGTTATGTTGATCAAGGAGGAGGCAAGAGGAAAGGTAGTGTAATCATTATATGGGGTTTAATGAAGTATATTTGAAATGAGCGTTAAAGTGGAACACTTTGTTTAATGCTTCTAGGTGCTTTTGCTGTGTACTTGGAGCCTTGGCATGCTGATATATTTGAATTTCTTGATTTAAGAAAAAATCATGGAAAGGTGTGTATGTCCACAACTCTTCTTTGAATGTGTATGCTAGTTTTGCTTTATCTTTTGGGGGTATACTACTTTATTTCCTATATTTAAAATGGTAGTAGAAATACTACTTTCAATAGATTCATGTTAGCCCATAAAATAATGGGTAATTTATTGTTTTGCAGGAAGAACACCGAGCCCGTGATCTTTTTTTTGCACTTTGGGTGCCTGATCTCTTCATGGAAAGAGTTCAAAATGATGGCAGTTGGTCATTGTTTTGTCCTAATGAGTCTCCAGGTTTGTCAGATTGCTGGGGTGAAAAATTTGAACGGCTGTACACCCGATATGAAAGAGAGGTACACACAAATTTTCCTTTGGCTGTATTTATAAACTTTGGATATCTTCTTTTCATTCTAGCCATTGGGAATTATTAACCAATGATACGCCTGCACAGGGGAAAGCCAAAAAGGTTGTACAGGCACAGCAACTTTGGTTTGAAATTCTTAAATCACAGATAGAAACTGGAACACCCTATATGCTTTTTAAGGTGATTTATTTACTTTGTAAAATCTGGGTTAAGCTTTGAATTCATCTGCTTTATTTATTTATTTAATGTTTTAATCCTCTTTTGTCCTCTTTTTTGTGTGCAATTGTTTTCGTTTTAGGATACTTGCAATAGTAAGAGTAATCAGCAAAATCTGGGAACCATAAAATCCTCTAACTTGTGTACTGAGATAATTGAGTATTCAAGTCCAACAGAAACTGCTGTATGCAATCTGGCATCAATTGCACTACCGCGATACGTGAGGGAGAAGGTGGGGCTTTTTGGTGTGCACTAACTTTAACGTATTCATTGTTAGTTTTAGCCATTTGAGCTCATGGTCTCATATCATATAAATTTTGATATTTCAGGGCGTCCCTGTGGAGTCACATCCATCTAAGCTTGTTGGTAGCAGAGGTTCCAAAAATAGATATTTTGACTTTGAGAAACTAGCAGAGGTCTGAATTCTTGTTGAAAATGCCAAAGTGTTCTTTTCTTCCTTTTCTTTTTGATATTCTTATTTTATGTTTTCTTGCTGTGTTTATTAGGTAACTGCAATTGTCACTGCAAACCTCAACAAGATAATTGATGTCAATTACTATCCTGTTGATAGTGCAAAGACATCAAATTTGCGACATAGACCAATTGGAATTGGGGTTCAAGGTCTTGCTGATACCTTCATTTTGCTTGGCATGGCCTTTGATTCACCTGAGGTATTTCCTCCCGTTACCTGTTTTGTTGATTTATTCAAAACAGTGTACAAGTTGGATTTTATAATTGGTTTTTCTTCGAACTGTAGGCTCAACAACTGAACAAGGACATATTTGAGACCATATATTACCATGCTCTCAAGGCGTCTTCCAAGTTAGCAGCAAAGGAAGGCCCTTATGAAACATATAGTGGCAGTCCTGTGAGCAAGGTACTAAATCTGAAAGGAGCTTGTCTTTGTAGTACGCTTCCTATACATAGTCCTATTTTCCTACTCTTCTTATGCATGCTAAAAAATTCTCAGGTTGACTGTAGATGGTTAAGGTTTAAGGTGGTTTGTGCAGAATATTCCTTTCCATTCATGTCATGGGAGTGAATAGCTAACCTTTTCGTTCATGCATATCTGCTTGATATCAGGCAGTAATGGTTTTATAGGCTAGAAAGTTGACATCTCAGTGATCTCACACAGTACTAGATATCAGATTCTAAGGTAGCTATTTATTGTTCAGGGAATTGTTCAGCCAGACATGTGGGATGTGACACCTTCAGATCGGTGGGATTGGGGTGCTCTTCGGCAGATGATATCAATGAATGGAGTCAGAAATTCTCTTCTTGTAGCCCCAATGCCTACTGCTTCAACTAGCCAAATTTTGGGGAACAATGAGTGTTTTGAGCCTTATACTTCGAATATATACAGTCGCAGGGTTTTGAGGTTTGCTTCAATTCTCATTCTGTTCATTTTTTTTTTTTTACATTTTTGCCCAGCTTTTTCTTTTTTGTTTTGGCTGAATATGGATTCTGTTTGAACTGTCTTCCCCTTTTCTCAGCGGTGAGTTTGTTGTGGTGAATAAACATCTTCTTCATGACTTAACTGAGATGGGTCTTTGGTCTCCTGCAATTAAGAATAATATCATCTATGAGGATGGCTCGGTTCAGAAAATTCCCGAAATCCCTGATGATCTGAAAGTCATTTACAGGTATGAACTTGTCATGCCCCTAATTTAGTCGTCTGTTAAATTGTTCGTCTAAATTTTCAAAGAATGATATGCTAATACGATTTTGCTTGTATCAGAACTGTTTGGGAGATCAAGCAAAGGACTTTGGTTGACATGGCTGTTGATAGGGGATGTTACATAGACCAGAGTCAAAGTCTTAATATACATATGGACCAACCCAACTTTGGGAAGCTTACTTCATTGCACTTCTATGCCTGGACAAAGGTACACATGCGCAAGAGAACACACATGTACTGTTTTTCGTTGTTACGATATCTACTATCTTGTAATCACGTACTAATATATTTTCTATCAAATACATTAGGGTCTGAAAACAGGGATGTATTATCTGCGGTCTCGTGCAGCAGCTGACGCCATCAAGTTTACTGTTGATACTACAATTCTCAAAGTAATCATCATTCAATGTCTTTTATTTTACTGTTGATTCCTAGAATTGAATATGGCGTTATTACTAACAACACTTGCTGGGGTGCGGGAATGAAATACAGGAAATGCCAGAGGTAGCAGAAGATGATGTTGGTACACAGAAGGCACAGATGGTATGCTCTCTGACAAACCGGGAGGACTGCATGTCCTGCGGAAGTTAGTTAAATGGAGTTTATGAATTTAACTTCGAAGTCTGATATTTATGGAGTTTGAAGAGACGACGGATTATCGTAGTTTGAGTATCAAGTCTAAATGAAGTGAAGATGCGTGTGTATAGTTGTAATACTGCTCCGCAACTTGTTAAAATGTCTCATGTAGTCTGTAAAATTGGACCTTTGATTCGCATTAATGATTATTAGCCATTTTCGTTATTACTTTCCGAGTTCGCGGGACTATTGCTGTAGAATTTTGTATTATACATGGAAGAATAATCTGCAATCTGCAATTCTGCATCAACCGCATCATCTACTCTTGCAATAAAACCCCTCGTAGTTTTGTACACAACTGCAAAAATAGTACTCCAACTGTAATGCAACAGGAGACACCAAGCTGTACCGTCTCCTGCACACCTTTGTCCGAAGAGATTGAGCCTTTGTCTTTTGCTTGTTCGTTGATTTTGTTACGCACTTTCTGTTTATGATGTTTAAGGTTTTGGTGGAGATCCAGGAACGAGTCTCTTGCCACAAAGGCGTGTGAGAACATGGCTACAGAAATTCAAACATGGCTATTTATGACCACAGTTTTCTTCGATCCAAAGATGTTGAATTTGTAAAGTGTAAAGATTAAGTTATGGTGTTTTTTAAGTTATCGCTTATTTATATGGACAATTGTGAACCCTATATAGCTCCATGAATCTCAATACGGTTTGAACCTAACCTTTACGAAAGACTAACACAAAACTGTTCGGTTGGTTTTTATATGCATATTTTCTACCTTTTTTTGTCTGTTATTTAGTCATCATTTTGTGTTGAACTGTTAGGTTTAATGTGTTGTGTGAGTTTTGTAAAGATTACGTTTTGAGAAGAATACATAAATTTTATGGTGGAAACTTGAGAAAACCGGACAATTGTTGAGTGACCGCCTGATCTATGTTGAACCTGTGCAAATTTGGATAATTTGGGCTTGTTGAGTTCGACTGATGAGCTATGTTATTCAAATTTGAATGATATGGGCTTGTTGAGTCGTGATATTGGCATTTTCTAGTTTAATTGGGCAGGTGCAATTCAGCCCAATCAGTGAAGTCATCCCGATGACTTCTTTTCCTAATCTATTTGGTGGATTAGGGTTTCTATAAGGATTTGGTTTTAACTTTTTTTGGCATGTGGAATGAAAAAAATGAAGGCATATTTAAGAGAGAACGGCAAAATAAGACGGGAGAATATATAGACCGCACACACCTACACACAAAACAGATCGTCGATGCACATATAGAGAGAGAAGCCGAAAGCCTGAGGAGAAATTGGAGGGATTCAAACTTTATCGTGGAGTCGAGATTGAAATTTGGTTGTTCTTTCTATTTTTTCAAATTTAATCATGTTGTCATTAATTTTTAATTTTTTTTGGCTAAGACTATGATGTAACTTAAGTATTTTATTTTTATTTTTATAAAACCTCGACGGTATAAGGGGAATTTTATTAAATCAAAAAAAGGGTACACCTACCAGGAGGATATAAACCTAACTTCTCATAATACAAGAAAAAAATGATAAAAAATACATGGAAAGAAAGGGGGACATAAACCTTACCGTTCTAGAAACAAAAACAATAAAGATACGAGGAAAAGAGGTGGGACGTGAAACCTAACTCCTCTAAACCTAAAGGTCTAAACCTGCAAAACAGAACAAACAACATCACAAGGTTAAGAAAAAAGAAGATAAGAAAGTGAGACAAACCTATATGCCGAGATGCACATTAATTTGAGAAGCAGAAGCCAGGCAAGCCAGCATAGTTTGAAAACAAAGCAGCACCAATCGCCATTGGAGGGGAATCATCCCATACCAAAGTTGGAGAAGACAAGCCCATATTAGCAAAAGAGTCCACAACTACATTTCCTTCGCGATATAGGTGAGGCATAGGAAGTCATCTTCTGAATGTGGTCCAAACAAATAGACCATTGCGTATGAAGAGGCCAATGAGGATTAAAATTAGTCGATTAGAGGGCAGAAATAACACTAGAAGAGTCACTTTCCAGCCTAAGACAATACCAACCCCATTGATATGCAAACTTTATGCCAATAATAACTGCTGATAATTATGCAAAAAAAGAGTTGCAATGACCAATCCCTTGGCAGAAACCACCAAGAAACTGACCATGGCAATCTCAAAAAACTCCCCCACAAGTAGCATGACTAGGATTTCCTTTAGACTAAGTTTAATCCAAGGAAATCAAGGAGAAGACCAAAGCACATGAAAAATAGTTGACACCTTGTGAGGGATAGGTGGGATCCCCAGATAAGAAATGATACGAGCGTCAAAACCCTAAGAATAACCAGGAATAAACTTCTCACCATGAATGATCCCAGAATTGATAGACATACAAAAACGATGAAAATAGATTGGGTGACCCTCGAAAATAAACTTATTTTGAGCTTTCCAAATAGCCAACATAGTAGAACGACCTGCAAAAATCCAGAAAACAACCAAGGAATCTGAAAACGGAAAAGAGGTACCAAATTTACATGCTAACCACCTCCAAAGCTGCCTAGATATCCGACACTCGAAGAAAAGATAAAAAGTAGATTCCTCAGAGATATGACATAAACAACAATTGGATGCCAGAGAAATACCACTTCGCTATAGTGCACCTTCGGTAGGAAGTTTGTCATGAAAAAGCAGCCAAGCCAAAATAGACAGTAGAGGCATAATAAAAGGTCGCCAATAACCTTGGCCCAAGCACAATCACTGCGTTTTTTTTCCGAATAAGATGATAACTAGAAGAAAAGGAAAATTTTCGAGTCGATGTAACTTAACTATGAATGCTTGCATAAGTGATTAATTTATTTCATCTTTGCATGGTTAGTGCTTGTACTATACTTAATGCTTGTTATTAATTGGCCACTAATTGTTTGATTAAAAGAATTATGTTGAAAGCTGAGCAAGCCAATACTTGAACAAGAAAGCTGAACTTGGTGGGTAAAACCTCCCTTGGGTACGAAGTAAGCCATGTCACATCATAATTCCTGGCTTTGGGCAATGCGACATGTTCACTGAATAAGAGAAAAAGGAAAAGGAAAAGAATGTAATATGTGTTGGTTGGCTTTATAACATAGGAGATCTTACACCAGAAGGGTATACAGTTAGTCTATGAGTTGCAAGACAAGATGCGAAACTTTAGTTAGGAAGAGGCTCAAAGATCTTGAAAAAGAACGAGTGAGGACTTGTCCAATCTCTCTTGTGAGGAACCAAGCTCAAAGCTCAAAAAGAATAAGGCAATGGATTGTCAGGATCCCATGGATCGAAGGGGCTATTTCATTTGCATGATAGTTCTGCTTTTTATGGCCTCCAAGTCTTCAGCTGGTACTGGTGCCTGCGGCAGCGCCTCTTGAACCTTCGGTTGTTGTTATTGTTATTGTTCAACTTAGTTAAAAGTCGTCTCCTACATTTGAATTGCCGAAGCAAGAGTGGTTTTCCTTAGAGATGAACCATGCTCTATTGGTTTGGTGGTTGCTACCAAGACGATTTCTTTATGCCCATCAGAATGCTAATCTACAATAAATGATATAATCGATCACTGATCTAAATTGAGTACCTCTATAGGATGGACCTCAACAAAAAACTGAAGAGTAATGACAACAAGTGATTGAGTTTATCGGAACTAATAACCTACGAGATTATGTAGGATTATACATAAATGATCCTTTTATGGGTCTCACTTTTGCCCTACGTCTCATGATGAGTACAGTTTACTATGCAAGTAAAGAGATCTAAGAGAGCTAATAGTGTGTGGACTTTGCCTGCTCCTTTCTTTAGACTTGCAGTAAAGTTGAACAAATGCCATAAATTACAGAGTTAACTGGGAAGATTTCATTATGGTTTGTTTAGTGTTTAGTGTTTTCCATGGAACGTAATGGTTTCTTCTTCTAAATCCATAACAAGGAATAGAGCGGGTTGATGGTGAGGAACACAACTAGTATAACTCGAGAGAGTATTGGTGAGATTAGGAAAAATAACTATCAACATGCTAGGTGATTGAGTATTAATAAACTAGAGAGGTTTGGGTGGGATTAGCTAGGTAAAATTGGTGTCCTAGCGTTTTATTAATTTCGCTTTTTTTTTAATTGGTTTATTTACTTGTCATAATTCATTCATACAACCCCTTTTGTCACTTCAATCCTTGTTCGTTTGCTTTTAAATTACGTTGGTAAGTAGGTTAACTCGATCATTGGCGTAACGATACTCTACTACTACTTTATTAATTGAACGATATTGTGCACTTGCAATTGTTTCAACAAGTTTTTGGTGATGTTGCCTCAAATCTTGTTTAATTTATTTTGCTTTTGTGATTTTCATTTATTTTATTTTTTCGTTATTTTGTTTTATATTTTTTCGGTGCATTCTCTCACTCGTAATCATTGTTTCTTGTAGGTGACTGACTAGCACACGATCATCGCATTGCAAACTAGTTTAATTTGAACCTAAAATTGAGCAAAACCTTTGTGCAATCTGAAGGAAACAAAGAGAAGAGAGAAGAAGGATCGGCAAGAGAAGAAAATGATGTTGATACAGAACGACACAATATGAGACCTTGATAACCCGACTATTCCAATGTTACAGTCAAGCATTGTCTTGTCCGATGTTGCTCAATATTATGAGTTGAAGAATATTCACTCTAATATGGTGTCATCCTTCTATGGTTTGAGTATTGAAGATCCATAGGCTCATATTAGAGATATTTTCAACGTGGTATCGGATGATGATCTTTCCTTATACTGTGAAAGACAAAGCAAAGACATAGTTAAAATCCTTGTGGTCTGGATCCCTAATTACTTGGAATGACATTCAAATCAAGTTCTTGGGGGAAGTTCATTTCAACTCAGAAGAGGGATGAACTGAGAGACAAGATTATGCAATTTACTCAATTGGCAGATGAGACATTTTTTTAAGCTTGGGGATGATTCAAGAATTTGTTGGTCAAGTGTCCTCACCATGGCTTGTTGACTCTAGTTTTCATGCGTATTTTGTATAAGGCGCTCACTGTTTCAAGTAAGGCTACAGTTAAACAACTATGCAGGTAGATCTATTAGGAATAAGATGGTCAATGACTGTTAAACATTGTTTGATACTTTAGCTCTTGAGATTCAACACCGAAGAGGAAAGTTACACACTTCAAACCGGATATCCAGGTGGACATCAAAATCAAGGCGTGTGCTAGCCG